GGCCGGTGCAGCCCCTGCCCAGAAGCCGGGCGCTGAGCCCGGCATGTGCAGGCGGCGCGGCTGAGCGGGTTGAGGAGCTGGCGCTGGGTGCCGGTCTCCGGAAAAACCACGTTTAAAGCCCACTGCTGCTGGGTTATTATTTTCCCAGGCTGCCGGGATTGGCACCCACGGCCCTGGCCGGGCTCTCCTCCCCCTCTGCCTCGTCGCTCTGGGTTTTGGCTGTCCCCGAGAGGACAAACCTGGCGTTTCGGCCTGCCCGGGCAGGGTGGAGGTCCCGGTGGTGCTCCTCCTCGTGGGAGGACACCCTCCACGGTGGTGGCTTCGTCGGGGCGGTGTGGGGGTGGAAGAGGTCAAAGCGAGGTCCCGTGTTGTCCCTTCAGTGACGCAGTGACGCGGGGTCCTCACTGCCTGTCTCGAACATCCCCCAGAACCCCAAACGTGAGCCTGGATAGCTCAGTTGGGAGAGCATCAGACTTTTAATCTGAGGGTCCAGGGTTCAAGCCCCTGTTCAGGCGAAGGCTTTATCCTTTAGGAGCCCATGGGCAGGCGCAGCACCTCTTCTTGCTGGGACAAGTCCCTCCTGGGACAGCTGAGATGGGGATGAAGCTGGGGACTGTCTCCCCTGCTCCCTTCCTCCCTGAAAGATGTTCAGGTGCCCAAACCAAGCAGCTTCCTCAGAGCTTGGGTTCCTGCTGGCACCTCCTTTTTCTGCGTGATGACCTCCACAAAGATGATGAAGGGACTGGCGCATCTCTCCCAGGAGGGAAGCCAGGCTCTTCTCAGTGGTGCCCTGTGCCAGGACCAGAGGCAATGGGCGCAAACTGGAACGGAGGAGGCTCTGTCTGAACATCAGGAGATACTTTTTCACTGTGAGGGTGACCGAGCACTGGCACAGGTTGCCCAGGGAGGTTGTGGAGGTTGAAGATCCGCGGAGGTATTCAGCAGCTGTCTGGACGTGGTGCTGGGCAACCAGCTCTGGGTGGTCCTGCTTGAGCAGATGGCAGAGGTCCCCTCCAACCTCAACCGGTCTGTGGTTCTGTTGCCTGTCAGCCCAAACCCACTCCAACGGAAGCAGAGCCCCGCGTCGTTTTAAGGGAAGATGGTCCATGTGAGAGCAGAGGCTGCAGCGACCCGCGGGGCCACCACACTGCTTCGGCCAAGCCCTGAGCTGCACTGCCTACGTGTATATGCACTTCAGGCTATTTTGGCAAAACGGAAACTCTTGTAGCAGCAAGTTGAGTAGTTTTGGACGAAAAACATCCCCTTTGGGATTTTGACATTTTTCAACCTGAACATATGTCAGTTACTCCAGCACAGTACATTATTCTTCAGATAAGCTTAATGGCCTTATCCCCAAAATTTACTTTCTGGGGGAAAAAAACCAGGAGGGGTGAAGAAATTGTGTATTTCCTTCTGTTTCTGCTTCTCAGCTGTGTAAAAGTGGGACAGGTACTGCTGCTGCTAAAGGACAACTTCTCTAGATGTTTGTCTTCTTTGCCTTCTGTATTATCTTTAGAAGGGAAAATGCTTTTTGAACTTTCTCCGAGTAAAGAAATACGTGTTTTCAGTAAAAGAGTAAATGAAGATTGGAAGAGTGTGAAGTTGTGCCAGTAGCGCCCTATAAACTGTAAATCCTAAAGGTAAACGCACAATCAATTTTGCTCTCCGTTTCTTGCTATGGATAAGGTGTGAAAGAAAAATAACTTATTCTATGCAATAAAAAAGCCTCCCTCTCCCCTTCCCAGGCACAAGCCCTGCAGACACCTGAGTCAATCTGCCCGGGTGCTGGCAGCCCTCTGCTACTTTCAGTTACCCCCGCAGTGGTGAATAAATTGAGACCCGCTGCTTGGGTAGTGTCTGCTTCACCAGCTGCGCCCCGCGTGCGACCTGGGCGATACCTTTTGCAGGTAGTTGTAATT